AGTAAAGTACTGAAGGATGTATTGGTACTGGCAAATCCATTTCTTTCTGGTGTTGCTGTACTTTCAAAGCCAGTGCAGAACAGCTACACTCCTGCAAAGGAGAACGAAATAATCTCACCTTGTTCCACAGAGACCAAGAGGCAACGAGCTGCAGTGGAAAGGCTGGATAGAGGTGAGAGGGGCCCCTGTACTGCTGGCACAGCACAGAGGCAGCAAAAAACCTTGGGGTGTGAATTTTTTTCTTTAATGGGATCAATATTGTTTGGTTCAGATTTGGCACATATTCATTATGGCAAGGACACGTTGATCCTGTGATCCTGGAAACCCTGCTGCAGAATTTAGGATCTGAGAAGCAACAGCAGGCTTGGAGGGATCAGCAGACAGTCCCAGGTACCCGTGTGACAGGAGATGTGCAAACTAAAACCATGCTGCATGCCAGGCTGTTTTGCTCCCTGCCAGGCTGTTTTGCTCTCTTCCATGCTGTATCAGACCTATGCCAGATAGGACTGTTAGCAAAGGAAGGCTTTTCCCTGGACTGAGAGGCAGCACAGCAAAGCTGACCAGGAAAAGTGCTCCAGCAGCAGCTCTGACTCTCATCTTCACATCCCCCCTGGCACCTGTGTGCTGGGACAGAAGTTTTATCTTCAGCTGTTAGCAGAGTTCACCTGCTTACTGGAATATGAATAACCCCCCCATAGGTTTTCATATTTGCATTTGATACTTGCTTTTCTTCTTGTGGCTTCCTTGGCCTCTCACATCAGGCACCTTGAAAACATTGTCAATTTTATTTCAGGTGTTCACCGATCTGTTGTACAAGAAGAGCCAGAGAAATAATGCCATGGTTCCACTGACTTCAGTGCTTCTGCTTGTGTTGGGGTGCGTCAGTTCCACAGGAAAAGAGATTTTTCTGTTTGTTACTGATTCTAGCACTTCTAGCAAGGTGATTGCAATAAACCCACATCCGTAGTTCAGTTGGAATTGTGTGTCCTAGATCTCGAGGGGAAGTGTTATTTGAAAACTGACACCAGGGTCTGTCATGTCTTTTTTGTGCATGGAGGCTGTTACCAGGGGATTTAATGCTTAAAGGTCATAATTAACATTGAATGAACCCAAATGTTCATAGGAGAAATGTTTTTACCAGGCAGCAAATCAAGGGCACATGAAAGCCTCTAACATGGAGTCAGACAACAGCATTAATTGAAGACAGAATGGCACCAGTTTTGATTCTTCCCATTACTTATGTCAATTAGATGTGAAAATTATCTAAATAGTGTTTGATAATGATGTGCATGGGAAAAAGCCTTAGGCCTGGTGTGAGAGATTTTTATGGGGTAGCTTTACGTGCTGAGATCTCTGGATCCTCTTATCCAGCAAAAACCCAGCAGTTTGTCCTTGTATCTGAGCTGCAGGTACCCGTAAGGCCTGCCTTTTCCTAGATAGTGAGGGGTTGGAGACGGTGCTTTGTCATTGTAGAGGATCAGTGCTGCCCAGAACTTGAGCTGTGGGTGGGATGCTCTGACCTGGAGCTCCCTGTAGGGGTGTGCAGCAGCTCCCACTTGGAGCAGCAGCAAAGGTCACAGCAGCTCAGCCCAGCAGGGAGGCCAGGGTGGGTTCCTGCAAGCAGTGGTGCTGGTCAATGCCTGAGCAGCTCCTCTGTGTGTGTGGGGCTGCCAGCAATAAGGATTTCACTGTGCAGCTAAACCATTCTTATAGCCAGTGCTGAGGCTGGTAGTTTTTAGGCAGCAATTCATTTCACCTGTTTTAGCTGCAGACTGTGGGAGAGAATTTGTTTTTTCTTAACAATGCTTGTTTTCTGCCATTTACAAGAAGTATCTGTAGTAGAAATCCATGAGGAGAAACCAAGCCATTGTATGTACAAAAGGTAGCTAGCTGTGACAGCTCTTCGTGTACAAAGCCAAATGATGCATTCTTTAGTAACCTTTTGACCAAGAAAATCCAAGAAAGGATGAATCTGCCTAACTGCACATCCTATGAAACCGGTGGCTGTTTAGAAATTGCCTCCAGCAGCATGCAGAATGGCTGAGGCACTGGACAGGGATTCAGTGCCACTGTCCACACTGTTCTGCTGGGAAGAGCCTTGCCTCTGCATCCCAGTGTGGCAGAGGGTCAGCTCTCATGCAGGGACAGAATGGGACAGGCGTCTGCTTGGTACTATAGGACTGCATGTGGACATGGGTGGGCTGCAAGGATGCAGGGCAGCAGGGGTGATGGTGTGCAGCCTCTGCTCTCCTGGCATATTTTAGTAACAGAGAGCTCAGCTTTATGTCTTCACCTTTGAGAAGGCAACTCAAATGTGTGAGGTCCACATTGAATGGTTAGTTTGTGCCGTTTTGCAAATTTTTTTTGAAAATAGGCTGTGAAGTCACCTTTTTTCTGAGGTATGTGCTCAAGGAGTGGGGAGATTGTCCGGTTTTCCTGGAAGAACTCCCATGCAACTTTTGGACTCTCAGGGCTTGGATGTGTTATTCTGACATGGTAGCACTAAGCAGTATGTCTACTGCCTGTACCCTTTGGGCAGCACTGTGTGTTCTCACTGGGCATGCGGGAAATGTGGAGACAGAAAGCACGGCGGATTGTTTAACAAAGCTCTGTGGTGGAGCAGGAAAAAAAAACAACAAGTCTGGGAGAACACAGTGACCCTCACATTGCCCATGCAGGCCAGAATTCCCTGTCCTCCATGAACCACAAAGTTTCATGGATTAAGCATTTATTCAAGTCAGATGAGAGAGGTATGATGAAGGTTAGAGGCTGTTTACGACATCGGTCATTCTTGTGAGTGCAGGCTGTTTTGTAACTGAGTGAGCAGAAGTTTTTAAAAACAGAGTTGAAGCAGGCGTGAGATTAGCTGAGATTAGTAAGAATAGCTGCCTGGTAGCTTGAATCTAATGACTTCTAGTTAGTAATCCCTCTTTCAGGCCAGCAAATCTTGTAGAAGGGAAAAAAAAATGTTTGCAGGTTATACAAGAGAGTTTGGGGAACAACTGTGACTCAGCTGGTACAACTTGGTTGTCTGTACTGCAGGAAGAATGAACTTGAAATCATTTTGCTAGCAGTTGAATGGTCTTAAGCATACACAGACAGCACAGCTGTTCCTAGGATAAGCTTTGTTACTCTGTGGTAAATATTCAAGAAAGTGAAGGAATGCAATTCAACAGTTTTGCAATAAAATATCAACTGTTTGTTGTTTTTTTTTTTTTTTAATCTCATCAGCTCTTCTAAAACTTTTATAGTTTTCTCAGAGAATGAAAAAAAAAAAAAACACTTGCTGCTAACAGCTCAGCATTATATTGTTTTATCGTAAACACAATTAGGGGCAAGTCTTTAATATTATTATTATTTTTAATTTCCTGTGGTAACAGTAATGCTGCAGAAACACCAGAAGGGTGCACCGTGCACCAGTGCAGAGTCCCACCATGGGCCACTGCTCAGTGAGAGTTTAAAGATGTAATTCATGTGGAAAGCGCTGCTTGTTTGGGGTTGGGTCCATGTAGCATAAAGCAGATTAAGCAAGACAAGAATATTTGAATGCAACATTTTGTTGTACAGAAGATAATCACAATACTCTTTCCTTGAAGATTTTATTTTAAGCATCCAAAAGAATTAAAACAGGAGAATAACCAATGATGAATTGACCCTACAGTAAATCCTGGTGCTGTATGTGGGGACTGAGCAGCTGTGATTAAGTCTGTGAAATGTTTCACCTTTTTTGTTGGCCACAAGTTGTACGAGGAGAGGTTTAGGTTAAACGTAAGGAAGATGTTTTTCTCTCAGAGAGTGGTCAGGCAAACTGGAATGGCTGCCCAGGGAGGTGGTGGAGTCGTCATCCCTGGCAGTGTTCAAGAGGCATCTGGATGAGGAGTAACGAGATATGGTTTGGTTTGTGGTAGCAGTGGTAGTGGGAGGATGGTTGGTCTAGATGATCTTGCAGGTCGTTTCCAACCTTGCCATTCTATGATTATTCTACGTATGTTTAATCACTTCAAAAAGCAGCATATTCATGGGGAGGAGGGGGGTCAGGGTCTCTCCCAGCACACGTTTGTTGTCATTTTAGCTCTTGCCATCGTCAAAACAAGCGTTTTTGCCTGGCAATTCTAGTGGTTATGAACCAGACACCTGAATCACTTTTTTTCCTAAACCTGTTTAGCAGCCCACCAATTTCCATTTGCAAACAACGTGAGAAGATGTAACTGCAAACAGGCAGGGGTGCTGCTCTTTGGAGGACCACCAGAAATATTGCAGTGTCTCCTGCTCCTCCAAGGGCCGAAAAGAGCTGCGATAGTTTGAGAAGAGGCTATGAGATGTGTGGCATTGTGTTTGCCAGGCCTCTGCTACGGGGCCCCAAATCGCCTCGGTGGGGCCGTGCGGGCCCGGTGCTGCATGGCAGCATTCAGGGCAGCGTGCCTGATTGAGTTTCGTTCAGAACTTCAGCGGTGTCTGAGCTGCGCTCAGTACTTCTCCACACCAGCAATGAAAAGGGCTGATCTGTTTCTGCCGCCATCACGTAAGGCCGAGTGAGTGACCCGCGCGGAGCCCCACACCGTGGGCTGTCGGTTTTGGGGCGCTTCCTTGCTTTCTTCCGTTGGGCCGGCAAACAGGTGAGGCGCGCGGCCGCTTCTCGCCCCCCGACGCAAGGAGAGCGGCGGGGGAAGGCCGGCCCCGGGCTCCGCGCACCTCGCCCGCCGCCAGCCTCTCGTCGGAGCCAGGTGTGCGTGTGCCCTGAAACCCGAGCCGCGGGGGGAGCCGCAGCCCGAGGAGAGGCGTTGAGCGACAGGCACAGGTGCGGGGCCCGGCGGGGCCGGGAGGAGCTGCGGGGATCGCCGCGGGAGAGCAGGCCTCGGCGGGACGGGCGTTACGAGGGGACACTTTGCGTGCGGAAAGGAGAGCGGAGGGGCACGGCAGCGGCGGGAGCGGCCGCTCGGTCGGTGGGCGGGGCCGGGCCGGGCGCCGGGGCGGGGCCGCAGCGGTTCGACCCTCGCGCCTCGAGCTGTGGCCGGCGTTCCGCCGCGCGGCGCCGAAGCCCCCGGGCCGCGCGCTTTTCTCAGCGCCGCGGCGAGGCTTCCCTCTCTCCTCTCCCTCTGGAGGTTGTTTGCCGGGCCGAGGCGGAGCCGAGGACGCCACACGTGCCGGGAACGTGCCGTGCTGAGCGGCGAGGGACCGATGGAGCCCGACGGCGCGGTGAGACGAGGCCAGAGAGCTCCGAGGCCGCTCTGGGGAGAGGGCGGGCGGCGGGGCCGGGAGCTGAGAGCCCCTTCGTCGGCCGCGAGATGGGGCGGCCCTGAGCTGAGAGGCGCCTCCCCGCCGCAGCGGCCCTCGCTGGCGGTTATGGTGGGCCGCCATTTTGTGTGCGGCGCTGCGCGGCAGGCCGAGGCCGACGGTGCCGGGAAACCCGGCTTGCGTGCGGCTCCGTTACGGCGCGGAGGACAGCCGCTATCAGTGGGTTCAGCCCCTCGGCCCTTCTCCTCAGTGGAGGGGCTGGGGCTCTGTGCCATCTGCCCGCTTCCCCTGTGGTACGGTGCCGAGTGTTGCGCTAAAATACGGCCCCCGTGGGTCTTCAAACGCAGCTGAGGGTGTCTGCTTTGGAGACGTGTGCAGCCACGAATAGCCGGAGGGACAGATGTCTGCCTCTCGATGTTGCAGGATAGAGGGGATGTTTGTTGGAAGGTGGGGTTCATTGGAGGTCTGATGTTACTGGCCGTAGGTTCGTTCAACACCAACACGAGCGTTTGCTGATTCTGCTAAAAGAGCCGTAGTCACACACTGCAGACACTGGTACACACAGTGCTGTGCAAAACCAAAGGGGAAAAAACCTTTGGAAACTAGGCCTGGAGTGTTTAATTCAAAAAGATGTTGGAATGTAGGTAAAACATCAGACTGTAGCTTGTTCAAGGTGTTACAGAATTGCTTAAAATTGAGCTCGTTTATAATAAAAATACCCATGCTCACTTTTCAGCATTTACCCACCAAAAGTTAGTATATGTTTTCTGTTCAGAGTTATTTCACTTTACAGCCTGTACTGTGTGAGATACAGGCAATCTTTGAAAAGTTTGGTTTTTGGTTTTGTTTTGTTTTGTTTTTCTAATCAACAGACTGCAAATGAGACACAAACAGAATCTTTATCTTCGTCTCCCAACGCTATGTCACCAGTGCCATTGAATAACCCAACCGGTGCACCAAGGTTTGGAACAGTTACTCCAAATCGCATCTTTGTAGGAGGAATTGATTTTAAGGTATTTTCTTTCCTCGTTTTACTACTAACTGGTATTTTATAGGCTATAAAGCTCAGTAGAAGAGTAAGACTAATGATATGTTTGCTCAGGTGGTGCCTTTCATTGCAGTCTTCGAATGAACAGCAGAAAATAATGTTTAATCCTTGATTTACATCACTGGGCTACAAAGTTGCATAAACTTCTTCACTTAGCAAGAAGCTAGGAACTTTTGGCATGCTGGTTTTTGCCTTTTTTTTATTGTTCGAAGGAGGTAGCTTTTTTAGTAAGCAGATTTCTTAGTAAGAATATATGGATTTTTAATTAAGTGTAACATTTAGTAACATTTTAATTAAGTGTAACATTTAATTGTAAGCTCGGTGATATATGTTGCAAACAAAGCAGCCATGGGTAGCTTCAGCTCCTTCAGTGCTTTTCTTTCCATTCCTACAAAGATGGAGCTACAGTGTGTGTGTTCTTCACCTACCGCAGTAATTTTTTCTTAAAAGCAAAAAGGAATATAAAAGGTCTTTTCTGGGCAATTTGCAGTACAGATTTTAGTTCTTAGCTTTTGCACTTCCAAGAATTCAATAAGAGAAGTTATGGTTGGGTACCTTTTTGATTCAGTCTGAAGAGGTCTTTCTTTAGTGGTGGATGCCATTACTACTTGACATTGTATAGGCTTAACATTAGGCTTTCTTGGGAGTCTCACAAGTGCCTTGTCCTGTCAGGAGCAGGAAAACAATTCCTAGGGGTGTTTCTGGTAAAATTACAGGTACCATGTTCGTCCAGATATTTGCAAACTGCACTGTGAACCTTAGGCTTTTTATTTTACCATCTTTTAACACTCTCTTTCTATATCTTTGGCTTTTGAAGCCTACTGTCCTGTGTGTATACATCCTTGCCATCCGTTAGGAGTCCATTATAACTTTCTGCACTGATGGCAGTCTTAAGAACTCTTCAAGTGTTGCTTAATGTATTTTTATCCTCAGCTATTCTATTGTGTATCATATTCTTTTTCTTGTGAAGCATCATAGCTGCTGATAAGATGCAGAGCTTACAAGCAACATTCTCCCAGAAAGCGAATGCTCTCCCAGGAATTGTAAGTTTTAAGGAAAAGACAAATCTTACCGTCGATCTTTATTGCCCATTATTTGCTATTCATTGTGTAAGAATATGAGAATGCTTCAGCTTATATAAAACAGTTCCATAGGCATATGCTATCATTTGTTTGGCTGGAATTGTTTTCCTACATAAACAGAACTTCACATTTCTCTTCAGGTGTAAAGCATGGTGATCTGTTCAGGAGGATGGTTTGGGGTGACACTTAGTAATACTTTAACCTTTCAGTAGTGTGTAGTTGCTCAGGATCTGGTACAGGGGATTTCCAAGGGGAAGACATGATTATCCAATTGTATGGGAACGGCTGAGTCGCACCTGAACCACTGATTGAGCACCTGGGGAAGGGACCTGGTCAGCCCTGGAAGCATAGGTGCAGGCAGTTCAGCTGTGTGACTGGAAGGGGTGAAGCACCTCTCTGACTGCCACGGGGGAAGGTTCTCTTTCTGGAGATCCCTCCTTAGTGAAACTTTCTCCCGTGAACCTAGAATCTTCTGATATGGGTGAGCAAACTTCTTCCTTTCCTTTAGAACACCTTCCTATCATGTTGGTCCTTCTGTCATCACATCTTTTTTGTAATGCCATTCCTATCATACAGACCTGTTCAGTTGCTACACCCAGTGAAGTCTATTTCCTGCCTGTTGAGAGCACTCCTGTCTGTTACTGCTCCCCACACTTCTACAGCGTGGCTGTATTTTATAGTGTTGTAATGCCAGAACACTTGGAGACATGAGGAGCTAAGTCTTGTACCATGAGTGCTCCCTGGACTTGAAGATTGCAACAAGTAAATTGCATTCTTTTCATAAAGTATGTATTGAGGGCAGAGTTATTCATGAAGTGTTAGCTTCGTATTCTTTTCATTTATGAATGTTACTCGAATTAGAGTTTTAGTTTTTCTTTTAAATTTTTTTTGCTTTTCAAACTCAGGTAAATTCTTAATCTGCAAAAGGGATTTTCTGCTAAATTGTATATATACTTTTTAAATCAGCAGAAGTGTTTCACTTAAAGGTGAAACAGTACTTCTTGTGTACCTAAAATAATGAAAGAATGTGGACAAGTACAGAAATAGCCTGAATGTACAGATCAGTGCAGGACAAGAAATTCTGAAATATGGTGTTGAGGACATCGTGTTTATGTTCAGAGGAAAGCTAATTGAGAAAAGGGAGACAAGTGCTCACATTCCTTGAGTGTGCATTTGTTAGGAACTTGTCCTCCTATATGCGCACCCTGATTAGAGAGAAAAGTTTCCTGCAAGTGGATTTAGAGCAGTCTCCATTAGAAGCACCTTTTCTTACTTAATTTATGGCAGGGTTTTCCCATGATGTGCCTGTGTGTGTATGATATGCATGCCTTCATGTGTATGTATATGTAAGTATACATGTACACAAGTGCAGAGATGCATGTATACATTTGAAGGCCTACATGTTTTTTTGCTCTGAAGTCTGACAACACTGCAGTGATTTGTCAACAGCACTCTGATAAGTTTGAAAAAAAAATCAGAGTGTTATCTGGCTTCAATGCATATACTTGTAAGGGGACTGTTACTGTGTAAAAACATCTGAATGTTTTAGTGGTTTTCCAGGTTACCACTGAATATGGAAAGGCAACAATTAAACAGTAATGCTGTTCTCTTGCTTTGAGGCACACCTCTATGCTCATTAATTTGTTTTTTAGCATGGGGTTATAGTTTGTGGTAACCTTTATCCAAAGTGTATCCATTAGAAGTCTTATGGAGTGTACTCATTGACAATAACTATACAAATCAGCTTTTCTTCTTTCTTTTTTTTCCCCTCTTGATTTAATTTACTAGACCAATGAACATGACCTGAGGAAGTTTTTTGCTCAGTATGGCTGTGTCAGAGAGGTGAAGATAGTAAATGACAGAGCTGGAATATCAAAAGGGTTGGTATAGTAGATTAAGCATGTTGTGGAAACTGAAAATGTAACAGAAAATTGCCATACTGTAGTGAATTTTATTAACTTTTTCTTTGCTCAGAATATTATTAATACTGTGTTATTGGCCTTAGATATTCCACATATGCAAAAATCTTCTTGTGTTCTCTAACATTTACCTAAGTAAATGCCTTTACAACGTGCTTAATTGTTGTCATGTGAATTAAAACATGAATTAAAATGCCCTTTTGGGGATTATATATTAAGAATACATAATTTTTTATTGTTGTGAGTCAGCGTGGGAAAGAATCCTGAGGAATAGGTGAGATGGGGCTGATTTTGCTGGAGTGCAGGGCGAGATCAGAGGGTAGTTCGTGGAGATTTTCAAAATGGGAACATAGGCAAATCTGAGAAAGAATCATGACTGCAGTAAAGGGAGGCTGGGACAAGATGTCAGTAATGAGAGGAGAGAAAAATCTGGAGGAAGATTAAAACTGGAAGGTAAAGTTACTGTTTAAACCCAAGGGGTGATGCATGGACAGGGGAGTCAGTGAAGTGGGGAACTGTGCTGCAGCATAAGGGTAGAAAGAAGGCTGGGGCGAAAAGGAATATCTGTGGGCATCTGTATTACCTGTAAAGTTCTTCGCTGAGTTTTCTTCTTAGCAGGAAGCTCAATAGAGATGAGATTTGGTGTCCAAATCTCCTGATCTTAGTTCAGTCCCTAGCTTACATAGATGTGCAAATGGCAGACTGAGCCAAGGGTATACATGGTATATATAGCAGAACTTTTTAATTAATTCTGAGAGTATTTGACACTTAAATTGCCACACCTCCATATAGAAAGTAAACGTGTTGGATAAGAATGTTTCAGTGATATTTGGGATTTCTACTCAAATCCAAGCACAAGCTTTATTGCTTGTGGCTGACAAGTGGTTTAAGAGACTCGTTTTAAGATTCTTTGTCTAATTAAGATTGACTATATCTGATTAATTATTGTCCAAATTGCATGTAGAATGTGATGTCTGTGTGTAGGTAAGATCCCAAATGAAGGAATTACCTTCTTGTTCTTGTGCCCTTGGTTTTGGAAATGTTTCCAAATTTGATTAGAGAAGGCAATCTAGCAAGAGCCTGTAGGTTTAGCAGTATCTCTGTACTCACATGAACATGGAGATGCTCAGAAAACATATTTTGTACTGCAAATTTTGGTAGGCTGTCTGGAATGATGGAAGCTTTCAGGCTTTCTTAGTATTTTGCTGAAGTCTGGCCTTGAGAGTGAGCCGTGAACCTAAGAAATGATGCATTCAAAACTATTACAAGATTAAGAAAAACTGTTACAATTCAGAAAGTTGCAATTCTTTCTGTAAAATAAGACAAAACAGTGATCTTCCATGTACATATTGTGTTACATACTTTAATTGTGATGAGGCACTTGGTTTGCACAGACAGTACTTGGTTCAGTGACAGATTTATGTGGGAATATTGATGTGTTGTGGTGTAGTAGGAGTTCTTTATCAAAAGCCTGTTTGATTTGTTGCAACAGTTGAGAGATATACAGTGAAGGAGATGTATTATGTCATGAAATGTGAGAGTACTTTATCCTTGAGTCTGCTACAAAACTGTTGTTTATTGTTACTTGTGTCAAGAGTGGCAAGAATAATTCCCAGGTAAACCACAGCTGTGTTTTGCTGCTTTGTCTGAGAACTCAATTAAATGTACTGCGTAGTGCTTAGGGAGATGTGGAGTGTTCACAGTTTTCACTGGCATAATGGGAGCTATGCTGAAAAGGCTGTATAATAATAATTTTTAAAAAGTTAGGAGTGCATCTCATCTTGGGCACTCCTTACAATGGAGAGATCCAGAACAGAATTTCTTTCTTTTATCGATAAGAAGTATCTACATACATTCACCATGCAACACCAGTAGTCCTGCAGGTTTTGCTTAGCTGTGCAGGTGAACTACTCATTTATTGCATGGAAACAATGATGTATGACCAGGTATCTAAATTAGATTAAACTGGATTAGAAAGTAGACTACTACAAGGATTATTAACAAATTGAAATTACAGTTGTTACTACAGTCTCTATTTCTACAGCTGATTTTTTTCCCCAATAATTTCCCTTCTGATATCATTACTGTATGTAAAGTATGAACGTGCAATATGTGATTGTGATAATGATCTTCAGAGACTTAGCTCTCTTTTTATTTAGGTATGGTTTCATTACTTTTGAAACTCAGGAAGATGCACAGAAGATACTACAAGAGGTGAGTTATATTCCCTGTTACGATTCCCTTTTAAATAATTTATTTCACAGCGGCCATAAGGTATCTCTGGTTTTCTGACCCTGTTCTGCAGGCCTGCATGGTTTGGTAGGTCTGTTAAGATTGGTCATTCTGTCTTCATACAATGTAGCTGAGAAAATATTTAGAGAGACAGAGATTCAAGATACCTCCGTATGAGGACAAGCTGAGGGAGCTGGGCTTACGTAGGTTGGAGGAGGGATGGCTCTGGGGAGACCTCAGTGTGACCTTCCAGTACTTTAAGGGAGCTTAAGCGGGAGGAGGACTGACTTTTTACACAGTCTGAAAGTGATAGGACAAGGAGGAGTGGCTTTAACTAGAAGAAGACAAATTTAGGTTAGATATTAGGAGTTCTTTTACTAAGAGGGTGGTGAGGTGCTGGAGCAGGTCGCCCAGAGGAGCTGTGGATGCCCCATCTCTGGAGGCAGTCAAGGCCAGGTTGGTTGGGGCCCTGGGCAGCCTGATCTAGTGGCTGGCAACCCAGCCCATAGCAGGGGATTGGAACTAAATGATCTTTAAGGTCCCCTCCAACCTGGGCCATTCTATGAACACGAGATGTATATATAAGTATTCTGAATCTAGGGAAGTGAGCTGTCACTTGATATTAGAATACTTCACTTTGATATATAATATTTACTTTCTTACTCTACATGTGCTCCATACTGTCTGTTCTTCTGATGCATGCTGATTACTCTTTATCCTTCACAGTTGCTTTCATTTGCTTTACCAGAAAATCCATTGTTAAGATCTTGTGGAGAATTGGAAAAGATAACTGCTTTATTTTATTCTGACACGTTTGCTCATCAGAGCTGTTGTAACACCTCTAACAAATCTATTCCTGAGAAGTCTTAAACAGTGAAGTTCATTTAATGTTACACAGTGGTTGCTTTTCCACTTACATAAGTTACCATCTTGATGTTCCCTCTAGAGCCTTCCTTGAGACAGGATTAGCTGTTAGGTGGTTATTAGCCTTTCAGCTCTTACTTGCAAATACGTGCTCCATATTCTGGTTGACATATATTGGATAAATCAGTTGGTGCGGATCTGTTCATATATGCAGAAATATTAGAAGACACGGGTGGGGGGAAAAAGAAAACAGAAGACAGTATCCAAGGGTTGCAAAATGTCTTCTGCCGAATATAAAGCAAGTTTAAAATACCGGAATACTGAATCTCTGTTGAATGTTTACGTGTTAAAATTCAAAATACAAACTGGGACATTTAAAAAGAAATCTTGGGTATTTTCTTGGGTATTTCCAAACAAATATCACTAGTGTAAGCAAAGGAGTAAGCAGACAGAAACGCTGGGGTTTTTGTTTGTTTTTTTCCTTCTCCTCATGGATTTTGTTTTATTTCTATGAAATAGAATACCAAGGTTACCCTTGTGAACTTGGTCCAGGATGTTTGCCTGTGTTGTAACTGAAAGGCTGTTCCACGTCAAGTCTTAGTGGTATCTGATTGTGTGAGACCAAAACCTCTTTGTCTGCAGCAAATGTTTCATCTCAGACATTCTGCAGTTAGGTTGTATTTTTCTTAGCCTCGTTCATCCTTAGATCAGTTACGATCTAAGCCTTTTTTAGGCTATTTGAGTGGATGGTTTCCCAGTTTTAATGGTTTATTGTAATGTAAATTATTTTGTATTTTATGCTATTGAATTTCTTCTCATTTATAAACATCCTACTTCTTGGTCATCAATAATATCTTCAGATTTTTTTCTTAGTATTTTTCATTCCTCAAAAGTATTGAATTGCATCTGAAGAACAGACTGTGGAATTTCTGTAGGGGCCTCTTCTCAGTCCTGTACTACTACATCTAATGCTACCTCTTCCCATCTTTTTTTATTTTACTGTAAAGTAATCACAGCTTCTCCTATTAATATGCTTTTTTTGTAGCATCATATGTAATTTTTCGTGCAGTGCCATATAGAATGCTTTGAGGAAATCCACACAGATGAGAAATTTCCTTTAACTGAGAAAGTCATATTTGAAAAAGCAGCCTGAATTCTTATGGATCACAGAAATGAAATAAATGTGTTGGGAAGAGTCATCTCCTCTTGTCTGTGGTGGAATGCAGTTGAACTGAAACTGACAACAGTTTTTTGGGGAGTTGGTTAGTTTTAAATTGGTTTAATTGGTTTATTTGCAGTAGTTAGTATTTGTTTATGAAGACCCAAATCTAAAAGAGAAGTTTAGCTTCTACTTATGTTCAGATATATAAGTTATTATGAAGTGCTCACATGTTTCAGTAAGAAGGGTTCAAATAAAGAGAATGCTTTGTTTTTTATTTGTAACTGTTGTCCATCTTTTCAATGTGATTTCAAACTATTTCTATATTCTTCTTTAATAAATAATTTTTTATTTCCTTACTGGAAAAATTACACCTGACACTGGAAATGTCGTGGTATAGTAGGGTAGCATTTAGAACTGAGTAGGAATCAGAAGACTGTATAACGTGTGGGTACTTAGTACTCTATTTTTTAGCTATTCTGCTATGATTTAATCTTACTAGAATATCTATTTTCAGATTCTTATTATTTAGTTTATATCTTGGTAGCTTGGATATAAGGAAAGTAAAGTTTAAGGCAGTACCATGTCTCACATAAAATTTAAGCTTTTTATCACCTTCAGTCCTTGTGCTCTGGTTCTTTTTATTGACTTGTTCTCATCTTTAGTAAAATGATGTTGTAGTTGTGAAAAGAATAAGTTTCATCTTTACACTTGAAATTGTCCATTTCTAAATATGTTTTACTTTTTGTTCAAATAGTGGAAATGTGACTGAGAAGAGTTGAACAAACAAAAATCTGACAATTATAGGTATCTGTTACTGGCTCTATGATGAATAAGGGGTACTTGAAATAAGTAATGATTGCTTTTAAGTATGTAAAGTCTAAGATCAGGTTAAAAAAGGAGCTAGTGTGTTTCTTGTTTTACTAAGATGCATTCTAAATAAGAAGTAGTGGCTCTGTTTGTTGTTCTTTGTTTTAAATGCCTTGATCTATGTTAAAAACAATTATAAATACTGAATATACTATTTTTAAAAATTCTAGGCTAAAAAACTTAATTACAAGGATAAGAAGTTGAATATTGGACCAGCAATAAGAAAACAGCAAACACGGATTCCTCGTATGTATATTCACTCACACTTGTCTGTTACAGATGTAATTGCACATCTTGTTTTTAACCACAATATGCCTGATCATGCATTGCGTTCATGCTATAGACAGAACACAGAGTAAATACTTAGCAGTGGAGAAGTCCAGATTTGGCATGCCCAGGATTGATCTTCAGAACTTCTTTCTCCCCCTTAATATATATGTTTACCCTCTTGGAATGATTATTTATCTAGGGACAAGGGGAATGGAATCTTCTCTTAGTTACGATGCAGAACCTCAAATCGAAGTGCCGCCCTCACAAATTGTTTAGCAGGTTTCCGTGGTTCTCTGGGTTATTATTAGTTAGTAGCAAAATCCATCAGGACCACTACGCCTTGCTTTGTTCAGTAGAAGCCATAACGAGTGGGTGTTTCCAGTCTCTGTTGAATTCTTGGTGTTTCTTTGCTTTAAAATAAAGGCGAGGTTGCTGAGGGTTCCTTCTTGGGCAGAGAACTATTAAAGCTGAAAACATACAAGAGAGAATTATTGGTCAGATGCCTTTGTCAGCTGCCTATTTGTTACTTTGGGCAAGTATGCTGTTAAAAGTTCCGTGGGTGATCTTTCCATGTTATGGGCTTCCTTCAGGATAACATACCATTGCCTTCTGCTAGGCACTGTTTTGTTTCCATAATAAATTGCAAAAAGTGTAAACCACTAACTTTGAAGATAAGAGCTGCCAGCTTTTTTATATAATTATTGTTATTCCTTAGTAATAAAATCAGAGAAGTAAAATATGTTACTCGAGAAATGCAGAAGCAAATGAAGCATAACTTTGTACTTCAGTGTTTGTCTTATGGTACCTTTTGGCGGGGAGGGGGGAAACACAAGCATTTGAACCTTTTCTGTTTGAGGGCAATTCTGTGGAACTTTAGTTTTAATTCTGAAGTTTTCTTATTTTTTGTTGTCCTCTATGGAGATCATTCGTATGTACATATTCTCATATGCACACTACTGCTGTTGCTGCAGACATACTTCCACTTGAAAGGAAATTTCTACTCCTGTATGCATAGGTACACTCTCCCTCTTAAGTGTGCAGAGTAGGATTTGCCCAGGAGAGTGGAAATTCTTCATTCCTGCTATGTTGTTTCTTTGCTTAGGAAATAGTTGTGTGATCCTTGCTCAGCCATCATCAAGGGGTTTTGTGTTCAATTGTGACTTTTTGTTTGTTTTTTTGGTTGGTTGGTTTTGATGGTTTTTTTCTTTTTTTTTTTTTGTTGTTGTTGTTTGGTCTATTAGTTTGCAGTGCTTTGTTTCTCTTTTTGTCTTTGATGTCACTTGACATTGTCAAGTGCATTGCTGGACTCATATCACTCAATTCTCCTGATGGTTTTTGCCCAGTGTGCCTATGATCAGACTGTGTTAGAAGATCCAGTTGGCATCTAGATACACATTCTGGGGTCTAATCAGTCTTTTCCAGCCCAACTGAGTTGCTGTCTTCCCCTACTGTTCAGCAGAGCAATTTCCATCTCTGCTGTTACCACAGGACCTTTTCTGTGAAGAGCTTTGACCATATTGGGATGATCAGTATTCTTACAGTTAAGGCCATGCAAATCTGGTGTAAGATTAGATCATGTTCTAGTCAAGGCACTGAGGTTCTCTTGGTTCAGTCAAGAGCAGTTACATCCATCGCTTGTTGTAAGTACGTGAATTTTGTTTTCGTGTATACTCCAGGATGGTCTCAAATACAAGGGTCAGATTTAAAATAGTCCCAGATTATAGTTGAAAATGCTTACATATCTCAAGAAGTTCAAGTACCTGCAGTGAAGTTGTGATTGGATCTCCTAAGCTTCAGGTTAGCTCTGTCTCCTTCAAGTTCTTCCACTTTTCCGTTGCAGTGGATTTGGGTTTGATTGCTAAACTTTTCATTCGTTTAGTAAGATTTTTATTTTTTTTTCCCCAGTAAGAGCTCTGTACTTGGCAAAGTGGATAGAACAGTTGATGAGTGAATTCTCTTCAGTTCTTCATTTGAGATAACAAGATTTGAGATAACAATGCTTTTCTAGGTTGCTTAATGGAATTCATGTAGTCTCTGATTCTTCTCACATCTGTTTAACTCTCTTAAGAATCACTTAGCATGTGACATTTCAATGGATATTTCAGCTTTGTTGTAAACAAGCATCCTCGGGTTTTTCAAGGGGTCAGCAAAACTGCTAGCATCTACAAAGGCACTTTGAATCATAGCTGGATCCTTTTTGGTCTCCACTTATCATTCTGGCAGTCCCTCGGCGTTATATCTGTCCATAAAAGGGTGTTTCCAGATGCAGTTACCTTTGCAAGGAAGACGCAAGGGATGATGCCCTCCATCTTGTGTTTTTCCTGATTTATTTATTTTGCATGTTAAATGTGATTTCAGCATTTCCATTTTGGTTATGGAATAATTTTTCCTTTACTTTTTGTTTTTTTTTTTTTCCTTGGCATCGTGTGTAATTCATACCAAAACTTGTCTTTTACACGATGTTCTTTCTACCTACCCACAAAATGCAGACAGGAACAGACTCCAGGTGATCCCAAAAGCAGTGATTGAGGAAGATAAGCAACCTCTGCTTAGGAATGGAAGTCTCCTTAATTGAACAAAGCTTATTGTCAGTTCCTGTTAGAGAGCTGGACAGCTGGAACTGTGCTTTGGGATTAGAACACTGTAGCCTGTGCAGTATGGTAACATTGCTGAGAAGTGTCCTTGTTGCTGAAATCTGGATATCTGTTCTTTCTTTTGTCAGGAAATGTGCCGTCACACAATTTTTGTGCTTTGAGAAATCAGGTTGCATTTTATAATGAAATCCTTCTGTTGTTTTTAGTGCTTGGATCCTGTTTCAGCTAAATATGAGTATGTGGAGGTTACCAATGAAAATCTCCCACAATGTGAAGTTACCTTTGGACATTTGAAGATTATAAAAAAAATTATTTGCTGGTAATTGGAGTTGTCTGTGTTCAGTAATCAATATGCATGTTATCTTCTGTACCCCTTCCCATCTACCCCAGCACCAGCCTGTGATTCTTTGTTTGAGAGTTGAGGTGGCACAAGACACGCTCTTTCCCATGTTCTTTCCTTTGAATGTTTTGAGTTTCTGAAGATCAGAAATGATCTTTCCTTCTTCTTTATGGCTTTTGCATTGGTCAACAAATACTGTTAAGTAAATCATCTTAAAAAAATAATTTCAGGTTCTAATGTGATACCAGAAGGTGGTACAATGTACTTAACGACTTCAAGTGGATATCCTTATATTTACCATAATGGAGTGGCTTATTTTCATACTCCTGAAGTTGCTTCTGTTCAACAGCCATGGCCAGTAAGTAATTGATCTTTTTGTATGTATGTTTTACTGAGGTGATGAATGCAGAGTTTCCAAGTCTCTTACTTCCAGTTTCTCCAGCTACAGCGTATCTTTGGTATTTAAATGGTTTCCTTCTTGTATTCAGATTAAAAATAAGTTACTTAAGGTTATTGTTCTTATAGTTTATTGTTCTTGTGTGGGAGGGCTTTGCTTTGATGTGACTGAGTGGGACAGAATTCATTCAGAATCAGTGTGGTCATTGCTCCAGAAGTTTTGTTACTGGGGATTTGTTGGTGCTTGGGATGCATGCTTGGCTTCATTTATTGTTGCCCCATGAGTGAGGTGTTCTTGGCTGCAGTGGCCAATATATTGAATATAGAAGGAGAACTTAATGCTAAAACTTAAGTAATTTTATGCACTGTTCCATCCATACTCCTTTTTTTTTTTTTTTTTTTTTCCTTCTGTCTGTCCAAGATTATGCTGCTGCTTATTTTAGGAGGAAGAATGCAGTAGATTCATTACTTGGTTTTAATGGGTGTGGAGAGATTGACCCCTTTCTTTCACTGATGTTTTTCTGACCCTACAAAAAAACAAAAGCAAGTTTCCAGCTAGTTCAGTTATTTAAACTGAATCACTGCCCGACCAGATGAGTGCTGGGGCTGGTGTAAGGAAAGGACTTGGAAAATGGAAGATGGGATGGGACTATGGGAGGATAGGAATAGATCACTGATAATTTGTATTGACTAAAATTGTTACAGGAATGTACGTATAGTGAGGACATAATGGCTGAGCCTAAGCAATTCCAGAAAGCACTTGTTACAGGTTTTTGCTTCATCTGTAGTGTAGGCCCCCTTGCAAGTAATGATCTTGAAGAATCTAAATGAATGTTAAAATATGGTCAGTCCATTTTTTAAAGGGTAGGAGATACAATCCAGCAGGTAGTATTTAAGATTGGGTCTTAACAGAAGCGACAAATGATGAAATTGCTGCATTGACTTGTAACTGTTTTGTCTTTTCAAGTCACGCACTGTTTCCAGCTCACCTGTGGTGGTAACGCAACCAGTTTATCAGCCTCCTACTTGCCATTATCAGGTATGTTTGTAAATGAGTTTCAGAGCAGCAGTATTCTTTTCAGTCAGCTGTGCAATTTTGTTTGCAGCACAGTCTGTTCTGTTTATTCTTGAAAAATAAGAAATAATTCTGTGAAACAGATTTCAATTTCGTTGAAGGCTTTTTTCTCCCCCTGCCCGTAGAGAACAGTTTCTTCCTTCCTATTTAATTACATGGAAACTGAATAAATTGGAACCTTCTTGGTTGCTAGAAAACTGGCTTAGTATCATTCTTAAGGATCTTTTAATTGTTCTAAGCCAAATTCCTGCTCAAAGCAGTAATGGTTAGGTGGCGATCATCCAGTTCAATTTTACAAGACTCCAACAAGAGAGATTCCACATCCTATCTGGGCAACCTCTTTCAGTAGATGATCTTTCTCTTGCTGAAAGGCTTAGGGGCTTTTTGTATTGCATATTTTTATTCTTGTATAGAAGAACTTTCAGAGTTCTAATACGTGCTTGTCAACTCTTGTGCTCTGAACACCTTTGAGTCTGACTTACTCATATTTATACCCTCCCAGTATGTAGTTGTAGCCAGTAGTAATTACATCATGACTCCTTTATTCTTTTTAAGGTTTAGCAAAGCCATTTCAGTTGTTAACCTGATATGTCTATTCTACAGTCCCTTAACCAGCTTGGCAGCCCACTGCTGAGCTTAGGCAATTTGTCTTGTATGCTGGAAAGTTGGCTGTATTGGGTGTCTTTTTTTAAGTAATCACATTTCTTAGATGCTTCATTATTCATTATTATGAGATGCCCAGCTGAGTGGTAGTAGACAAAATTCTTGAATTGAGGGTTTATGTAAATCATATTTGTTCCTTTTAATGAACATGATAATGAAGATTTGGGATATTTTTGGTTCTAATACATGAGAAAGGTGTATGTCTTCACATATGTTTTTAATTATGTAAGTAATATCTTTCTTGTGTCCTTGAATTTAGGCACCAACGCAGTGTCTTCCAGGTCAGTGGCAGTGGTCTGTTTCACAGGTAAACACCATTTGTAGTTTTACTACTTTACCCTTAGTTTCCAGTTAGTTTAAAAGCAGGGTTTGCTTATCAAGTGCTCTTAAGTTTGTTTGCAAATCAAATGCAAAAATTATTAATTGTAGCACTGCTGAAATAAATAGCTATATTTTATCAATTAATCTGCAATACTAGTAGGATAGAAGACAAAACGTAGCATTTATTGAAATGTAAAATGTAAACTTCTTTTAAGGAAGGCATCTTCCCTTCTTCCTTTGGCAAGGGGTTTTTATTACTTTATCAAAGAGACTTTCAGAAGTGTGTCTGAACTACTACATTGTGCCTGATAGGAGAAATGAATGTTAACTAGCTCATTACCTGGTAATAACTGACATTTTACTAGTTTAGTAGTAGTAGAAGCTGGTAAGCATGCAAGTATGGCAAAATTAGACCCAGGCCTTTGAAGCAGGAGAAAAAATGTGATATTTTGTGGGGGATATACTTCACAATTTTCTGATCTGTGTAGCAGAGGTTCTTAATATGGAAACCTTGTCGCTGAGGGAATTTAGAATTTAAAGCTAGAAGAATAACTAGGATTGTTGAACTATTAAAACGTGTCTTTATAACTTCAGTACTGGCTAGTCATATTCTTATTATGTTCTTCATGTTCTTGTTAGTCCACTGTGAGTATCAGTTGGCTGCTTGGAAATTTAAGTGCCAAATTGTTAGGTTTGATGTGCATCAATTATGAGTTATATAGTTCTAAATTTTGGATCCCTTTTTGGTAGCACCTGCTGCCAACAAAGGGTAGGGTACTTCTCTTGAGCAATGGGATCAGGCAGTCCTGCACTTAGACTGCAGACGTAGCTCTTCCAAGATAACAGACTGACTGACTCATCTAGGGATCTTCTCTCTTAGTGTAAAGAGAGAAAATGCAAGGTTGTTCAGATAGCTAGCTGACTAAACCAAAGATGTGTCGGGAGTTTAGTGCTTTCAGTGCATAGACATGGGTAAACTTAAGCATTCAAATTATTATGGTTTGTATTTTAAGAGAAAATATATTTTTTATTTAACTCTCTGCAAGAGAATTACAACTGGTCTAGTTTTATATATGGAGGCTGGTGGCCCTGCCTGTGGCAGGGATGTTGGAGCTCAATGATCCTTGAGGTCCCTTCCAACCTAGGCCATTTTATGGTTCTGTGAACTGTACTATGTGATTTTGAGAGTGTCTGTTCTATTAGGATTTTTCCAGCAGTGTTTTGGAAAATCTAAATGAAATATGGTAAACTTTTTAAGAAGAGCTTAAAAGACATTTTTCTTTTTTCCTGCTATCCAGCTTCACTAAGTACTCCCCATCAGCTGGTTTCCTTAAATTAGCAAAGCTGAGTTTGACACTTTCATTAAATTTTTAACTTTTAACTTTAACTTGTTTATATGTAGCGAAAATGACAGTAAAGCAAGATTTGCTAGATATAGTGCAAGAATTAAATAATTTATGGAAGCATTGTGTTTTATTTCAGTCTCCAACCTCTTCGCCTTCGTTGTTTTATCTGCACCCATCTGAAGTTATTTATCAGCCGGTAGGGATTGCCCAGGAAGGTGGTTGCGTACCTTCTCCTTTCCTTCTAGTGGAAGCTGCAGTTCCTGAGGTATTTCTATGAACAATTTTATTCTTAGTCATAGCATTTATCTGCAGTTGAAAAACACACTTCAGTTTCAGCACAGGTAGTTCAGAGCACTTGGGTCAACTGTTTGTCTAGTGTCCCCCAAACCTGCGCTGCTGCTCTGCTAATTGGTTTGAGTTGTCTTATGGTTAGAGTATCTCTTCCATTTTCCAGGAGGATGCCTTAATTCTGGAGTACCTTAGAAGGTTACAGGGTATCTGACAAACAGCAGTATAAAGGATAGTCAAGCCATTTTACTTGAAAATAAAAAACAAAACAGGAGTCCATCACAATGCTGAATTAAACTACTCAAACAATGTCGATTTTGTTACATACTTTTTCCATGTAAGTACTATTCAGGCTAGTTCCTGAATATTCTGGAGGCTGGGATGGATTAAGAGTAGTTGAGTGACCTCAGTTTCTTCTGCTCTTCCTTGCTATGCTTTTCTTGCTTCTGTATCAATAGCTGTTCCAATTCCAAGAGGTTACTTACATACAATAAGGCTATTTATGATTGGGTATGAAAAATGACAGTAATTGGCTACAGAAAGTCTTATTTTAAAGAATTGAACATGTGTTACAAATAATGGCTATTCTTCTGCTTTGTTAATTCAGTTCTCCTTAACAGGGATATCAGAGTAAATGGTAAATTAGGGCAGTAATCAAGTATTTTTTTTAAAGTTGAGGAGAATTTTATTGTCACAAGAGATAAGTTCCACAACTGATACTCCATACATCTTTGGTGAGAAATCGTGGCACACATGATTTCCCTTCAAAAATTCTTTGTGAATAAAACAAGGCTTTGGTTGTTGGGGTTTTTTCCCTTTATAAAATGCATGAATGTCAGTATTAAGTGTATAGTCATGATTTATTTCATAAATCAGATATAATCAGATAGATCTTACAGAAAGAAATTTAGAGTATAGGAACAATAAGCAGAAAAACATGAAATTAGTTGAGAAATATTTGGCTGTATCGTGCTCTTAGTTCACAGGTGTATCGTTTGCTAGTTTTAAAAGAAGCATTATGTGGAAATGCAGAAGACAACGTAAAATTCGAAGAGAGGCCTTTGTGTTATTTAAGTGTAAATAGTCTGAAACAGAATTCCCACACTATTACACTTTGCTAATCTGCACACTTAAACTCGGTTCCAGTTAGAGCTGAGTGAACTGGATTTGTACTGCAGAAGTGCTTTCTGGCACTTATCTAAGTAAAGTAGCTTAGAGACGAAGACATGACAGTGATCTAAATAAATTGTATTTACTTAACTTTGATACAACGAGGAAGACTTAAGTTTATATATTGAGTTTTCAGTTGCTAAACAGTTGTTCATGGTTTGCGTGGTTATGTTAGACAGTTAGAAGTGTTAAGGGGTCTAAATTAGTGTGGAAGTTTTCCAGGAATAAAAAAATACATACTTTTCTGCTCACTTCTGTTTGTTTTTTTTTTCTTTCTTCTTTATTCCAGCCATTTTCTGATCATGGAGTTCAAGCAACCCCTCACCAGCCTTTTGCCCAGAGTGCTGTAGCCATGCCTGCACCTGTGAGTCAAACTAAGCAAGTTAAAGTAAGCATGGTAGTCTTTGGAAGGGGGTCAGGAAGAGGGGAAAGGATCAGAGTCTTTTATTGATAGATTAATAATTAAGGAAAATGGTAATGCTTCAGAGAAAGTGATTTTTTTTCTTCACATGAGACTTTCTTAGATATAGATTATAGATAGACAGAGATATCTATCTAGATATCTATTACAGAGTTAGATAGAGATGGAGATTGGGCATAGAGATTACTCTTTTTTTTAATTTTTTTTTAAACAGCTTATGGAAATTAAAAGAGAAAAAGACTAGTTATTGTGATACTTGAATTAGAGAACTGCAAATGAAGGTATATTTTGAGAGAAAATTGTTGTTGTGAATTCTTTGTCTCTGTCTTGAGAAACTGAAGTCATTTCTTACATTGTTAGGCAAGCACCTTTTGTTATGGCAAGGTGGAGTTTTAGAACAGGATGCAAAACTGTTTAGATTGATCACCTACACGTGTCTACTCTGCAGTTCTGGTTCTGAACAGGCATTCTAAAAAGTGATTTTTCTATGTCACCTAATACAAGGTTTTGCTTGAGCGTCGATTTGAGAACCTTTTGCCTAAATTACATGGGTTGTTCTGAAAGGAATGTCTGCTAATTATTTCCATGGAAACTGCAACAGATACAAGGACCACAATGTTATTATTTGATGGAGCAAATTTTCAGCTACTAAGCACTATTTTTCAACTTAGTCACTATGTTGCTACAGCACGTGTAGAAAAGGTACTCACTGAGTTCTTTGTCTCAGTCTTCACTGGCAGCCACACTTGTCATTTATCTCACATTCCTGAACCTTGTATCCTTGAACCAGTAAGTTGAGGCTGGGGTAGCAATTGTCAAGAGAAAAGCAAGTCTGAGACCATCTCATGAGACTGAATGTGTATTAGTCTATGGGGCCAAATGACATGCATCCCTGAGTCCTGAAGGAGCTGGCTGGTGTGATTGCCTAGCAGCTCTCCATCGTATCTGAAAAGTCACAACTGTCAGGTGAAGTCCCTGGTGACCGGAAAAAGGGAAATGCTACTCCCACTTCTAAGAAAGGGAGAAAGGAAGATGTGGAGCTACAGAAGTGAGCCTCACCTTTGTGCCTGAAAAGATCATGGAACACATCCTCCTGGAAGACATGTTAAGGCACAGAGGTGATCTGAGACAGCCAGTACGGTTTCACCAGGGGCAGATTGTGGCTGAACAAAGCCGCCTACGATGGAGTGACTGCACTAGTGAGCAAAGAAATGGTAACTGGTATTGTATACCTGGATTTCTGCAAGGCCTTTGACATGGTCCTACGCAACATCTTTATCTCTAAAATCGAAGAGAGATGTGTTAGAAGAGTGGACTATTTTTTGGATAAGAATTGGTTGGAAGGTCACAGCAGTAGTGTTGTGGTCAATGGCTCTGTGTCCAGGTGGAGGCCAACGTTGGGTGGTTTCCCCCAGGGTTCCATCTTGACTAGATGATGGAATCAAGTGCACCCTCAGCAAGTCTGCAGAAAACACCAGGCTGAGAGATTGGTTTAGTTCAACAGAAGGAAGAGATGCTCTCCGGGGGGACCTGAGCGAGCCTGAAAACAGTCCATGTAAACCTAATGAGGTTAAGCAAGGCCAGGTGTATTGTGTTGCACTTGGGTCAGGGCAATCCCAAGTATGAGTACACTCTGGGAGAACTCCTTTAAGGGTAGCATCATCAGAAAGGGTTGGGGGTCCTGGTAAATTAAACACATAACATGAGCCAGCAGTGTGTGCTTGTGACTCAGAGGACCAGCTGCATCCTGGCTTGCATCAATTGAGAGGAGGCCACCAGGGCAAGGGATTGTCCCCCTCTGCTCTGTGCTTATGAGGCTCCATCTGGAGTACTGCATCCAGGTCTGGCACCTCAAACATGACAAGAATGCGGAGCTTTTGTGGTGGGACCAGACAAGGACCATGAAGATGATCAGAGGGCTGGAGCTCCTCTCCTGTGAAGACAGGTTGGAGGAGCTGGGCTTGTTCAGCTTCATTAAGAGAAGGCTCAGGGGAAATGTCATGGCAACTTTCCTGAGCTTGAAGTGAGCTTATGTGCAGAAAGGAGTAGGTAGCAAAGGGACATAAGAGAATGGCTTTAAGCTAAAAGAAGGGGAATTTAGATTTGATGTGAGAGTGAAATTTTCCACTGAAAGAAGGATGAGATGCTGGAACAGGCTACTGAGGGAAGTTATGAATGCCTTTTCCCTGGAGATGTTCATGACCAGGTTGGATAAGACTGGACAGTGTGATATTGTTCCTGATTTAGAGGTTGACAGCCGTGCCTGTGGCAGGAAACTAGCTGGGACTAGATAATCTTTATGGTCCCTTCCAACCCAATCCATCCTACATTTCTATGACAGTTAGGGATCCTTTTTTTTCTAGTGATGGACGAGAGCGTGTGTGTCCCATGTAAAAATTCTGCATCAGCAGCTGTTGCCACTATTGAAATGCACTGCCTACCTCTCACTGTGCTCACATCCATTATTTGGTCTCCTTAAATGTTCAGCAAGCATTGATGAGTGTTGGTGCCATTTTATTCCAAGAGGAGGAATTCAGTAATTTACTTCTGCTTCATACACTCTTCTTGTCAGGCACCACTTTGTCAGACTGCCCCTTTGCTGTCATATGTCACAGAGCAATAAAATGTAATGGAATATTGGTGGGAAGGTCCAGCCCCTACTGCCAGACCACATCTACCTCTGATGTTGTGGGCCAGCGTAATAAAACAGGAGGCATAACTTCTGGAGCAGCACTAAGGATGATATCAAAAGTTGTGAAATTGAATCTAGCCTATGTCTCCATCGTAAGAGGGGATTAAGTGTCTTAGTTGGTTTACTTGATATGGCAGTGTTTCTTCAGTGAATATACTTGCTCCAGCTACAAATTACAATGAATAGGGACTACTCCAAAGCTCGCATCTGTATTGTTTTAGGTTTCTCTTGAGAATAATCTTTTCCCAGACCACTGTGTAACAGTATCTACTAAAATAGCCAGTAGAGGGGGCTGTAACATTAAGAGTTGTTTGGAAATAAAATGTAATTACTCCAATTGGAAAAAGAAAATACAAGCTGGATATGAACTCAGGAATAATAATGCTGAGTAGTTCATACACTTAGACACTTAATGGAAGTGGGCATAACACAGTGACTATAATATTCAGTTTACATTCCATTTTCTCATCATATTAAGACACTAAAACAAAGAAAAAAAATTGATATCAGTACTCTCAGAGTAAAAAACAAATCATTCTTACTGTATCAAACACAGAAGGAGGTTTTTTCCTTGGTACCTGACTTACTGTTTCTCCTAGCCCTAAGGAGCAAAGTAGTGTGAAGTAAATTGCAAGATGCATCTATAGCACGGGGTAGCTCTTTCTCTTGCACAGTAACTAGCATGGTACCAAGGCTTTTCTTTATGGTGAAGGAGTTTACTTAGCAGTAAGTGATGACGTGTTAATTGACCATAGGGTATGTCTGTGCATGGTAAAGTGTGTTTGAACAGTTACTGTGGCATAGGAAATGAGCTCATACTCATTTATCTTGTGAAGCAGTGTTACATATGTCTCTTTTCACAGCTTTAGCAGTAATTTCGTGCACAGCTGAAGCTGGTGTAACCCAGGAACTCAATCTTTTTTCCATATCACCCATTTCCTGTGCTGGTGCAAGTTTTTGTGTGGCAGTGTGTTAAAACAGGTCAGGGAACTGATGTTATTAAATATGATTCTTCATTCCCACTACACAGAATGCATTAGCTTAAACTTGTGTTAATTTCTCAGACCATTTTTGTCAGGCAATTGCACAAGCTCTTCTACTTACACTGGAAGTTTGGGTCAGGGCGGAGCAAGTAGTTGTGTTAGCAGTGCAGACTGAAGCTTGATTAAGCTTGGAGCGACTAATGCTGTCCATTCCTTCATTGTATTTGTTGCTCAATCTCACCTGTTTTCTCAGAATTTTTCCATTAGAGACTGTAACTGAAACTAAGTTCTATTCAGGTTTCAAACAGCTTCACAAATATCTTCAGAACCTTCTAATGACTGGTAGAATTCTGATGATTTTATTTATTACGGGATCATGTCAAATCATTTCAGGCAGTTCTTAATTTCTTGTTTGGTTTTTAACTATATTTAGTAACTAACAGTTCTGGAACACAATTCTCCATTCACTTTAACTTTTCACATAGTTTTGAATATGCTATGCATGTATCAGCTGGTGTTGTCTATCTCGATGGCTGGACACTCAACAGAGATTGGAAATAGAAGAGCAAATGTTGAGAGCAGGCTGGTGTGTATTAAGCGAGTGGTTGTATCGTTACCACCTGCTTCACAGCTGCAGAAAAATATTGCCTGCTGACTGCATTCTTGGTAAAATATACCAACAAATGTATCTTTGCTGCTTGAAAAATAACAAGTAGTGGCCTTGTAAAAGGTAGCACGTTCTAAAATACAGGCATTGTATTGAAAGTAATTGTCTCCAGTGTGTCATATGCTTTAATATTAGTTCTGCTAGGAGCTTTAAGTCACATGGTGAGAGTGGCTAACAGACCCTGTCTGGATAGTTTTGGCACTGCTAACATAGTACTTTCAAATGTAGCTTGAGAGAGTGTGCACTGCAGTCATATTTTAATGAAGCCACAAAGGTGAACAACCAAAACCTATGAAATATTTACCAAGGAAGAAAGTCATGCACTTCTGAGCCAGTGTTTCCATTGCTGTTGTGAATGTATAAGAACTCTGTTCATTTGTCTTGTAAAGCATTTGTTTAACAGTTAACAGAGCTTCAGCTCTGACGGTGCTTCAATTTGTTCTTCATTTTCTCTATTGTGGCAAATAATATTTACATAGTATTTTCCCAACGTCACTTTTTTGGTACAGAGTTTGTAATGCTCTTAAAGCTAGAATAAAACTGCCCAATTTCTGAAAGTAAATGATAATTGGATGCAAATTTGTTGTTTAATACCAATATTCAGTTTGAGTATAGTATACTAGTAGCCTCCCCTTGATCATCTTTTCTCTCTGTAGATCTTGTATTACCTCTTGTAATAAGGGGATCAGTGCTTGATTGCATCTAGAGGGCAGATAGGGAATTGTCTTTGGGAGAGAGATCTGTGTAGTCTATGGTAACAGTAAGGGAAGACTGAAATTCTGGTTCCAGATCAGGGCAAATTACTTTGAGGGAAACTCATGAGGCACAGGGAGCTGGTTGTTATGTCTACAAAAACCAAGGGTAGGTACAAAAAAAGTTGTGCCATGTGGGGGTGGGTAGGTGAATGGGTTTAGTAAATTTATTTCATGCTTTTATTTCTTCTCAGTCATTTTTTCCAACTGTTGTGAACTTTGTAGGGGTGTATCTTTGCTGTCCCTATGATTTTTTTCCAGTGGAATATTTTGGCCAACATGGAAAGTGCGTAATGATACGATGTCTTCCTGTGGGAGATGTTTTAGGACCTTAAGAGGCTTTCTCTTTTATTGAACTTGAAAGTGTCCTGTAAGGGGACATAAATTGATCTACTTCACCTCTATGTCTATCCTCACAGTTTTAGCTGATGGCCAGCTGGTCTTCCCTGATCTCGTTGTTGGAAACTGAAAGTGCTGGGCACTGGAATGCAGCACTGAGCTTTGGTATTAATTAATTTTAAGCTCAGCCTTCAGAAAATCTTGCAGAAATTCATAGAAGGGTACGAAAGTAGGAACGTAGGGGTTTTTGTTTGTTTTATTGGTTTGTTTTTTTTTTCCTAAATGTGCTATTTGCTGGCTCTTGAATCAAGAACCTGCCAACAGCAGAAAAACAATTTGGTTTTCAGATTTGTGTGTTTGGTTTTTGTCACCACTTTGTTCTTTACTCTCCACAGTCATTTCAATAGCTTTTCAATGAGATTTTATATTTGCTGTAAGAAAATGTTTTTAGAAACATCGAAGATTGTTCACTTGGATGTTGCAGGTAATTGCATTGCCTCTAACTCAAAAACCAAAGAAAGATCTTCCAATGTGAGAATAGAATTTAGGGTATTCATTTGGTGTGTAATCAAATTTTTGTGCACATACACCTTCTGGTTTTCTTGGTGCAGATGCTAATGCCTCAGCCTCAGATACTGATGGTTCTGTAAATTTAATTGAACTTAGAGCACTTCATTTTTCTTTGCAGTAATAAGCTTGAATGTATTTTAAATGTGCATATAATGCACGTAAATATCTGTATGTTTATATAAGCTTATAGTTGTATATATGTATGCATATTTATACCTAAGTTACCTTTTAAAGTGGAAGTCTTAGTGTAATCATTTTGGGAAAAGTATAGTAATTTTGTATTATGTGGACTTGTGCACTTAGGGCATTCCATCTGGAACAGCAACAACAAAAAATAACCTTAAAGCATGTTTTCAGTCCATTAAGCTTTTTTTCATTAGTAAATTAATTAATTAAGTAAATTGTAGTGTAATTAAGGTAGACTAAAGCTTTTGTTTTAAGTTCCCTAAGTCTCAAAAGCATGAATAACACAGAAGTTGTCCTCATGCACAATTAATGAGAGGTTTGTCACCAACTGTGGCATGATCTATTGCTCCTCACAGGGATAGGTTGAGTGCCACCAAAACCATATTCGTTAATTTTATATTAACATAGCAAGTTGCAGATGGCATGCTTCGTCTCACATTATTTCCTGCTGTGTTCTTTCAATTAGCTTGTATTTTTCTAATAGGTTGTTCTTACTCTAGTGGTTTATTTTGCTTTTTCTGATCTTATTTTCTCTCTCTCTGTCTCTCTTTACAGGCAGTGTGGAGCATTCACTATTAAGCACTTTGGGCAGCTTTAGTGTACCTGTTCTGATTTTCTTGTCCAGTCCTTCCAGTGTGGCTGAGATCATCAACATACCAGCTAGCAGCTGCCTGTTGTGAAGCTTAGGGTCAGTTGTTCCATTGCAATACTTGATATTTACAAATAGCTAAACAATAAAACCTGCTAAGGGAGAATGTAACATAATCTGTGGTACTACTTAACTGCTTTTTGCCTATTTGTAAATGTTCTGATATTTATGTAAAACAGACATAACGTAATTCGTGTAATTAATTCCTGAGATAGTTGTATGTATATTCACTCCACAGTTATTTTCTTTGTTCAACTTTCCAAGTTCAGTGCATGTGTGGGTTGCTCTTCCTTTACCAACAAGGACAGTTCTTAGATCTTCGGTACATGATTTTTGTTCATGAAACTGTTCATGTTTCCATTATTAGCACTGTAGTTTCTTCCCTCCCTCTTTTTATTTTGTGATACATGGTGATTTGTATTCATGGAGTTACACTCTGTGGCAAGTGCTCAACCATAGTTCTTCTGTGAAAAAGGTGCTGCTTGGAGTTGTTTACTTCTCTTCAAAAATGGAGTATTTGAATAAGATGAAGTTAGGGAAAAATATATGTTTTACACATGTTAAAGTAATTTATTTTGGTTTGTTATGTGATAGCCTTTTAACAGCTCCACAGTACATAGCAGGGGCTTGGTACGTGCTTAGAATGTGACTTTTTGTCTGCTTAAGTGTCTGTAATATTTGTCCCCAGATATGACTTTTAAAAGTCCCACCAGTGTGAAATTAAGTCTTCACCATCACATTGGGACATGGCAGTACAGAGGAGAAAACATTTTGTGCCATCATTTTTATAGGAGTCAAAGCTAAAGAAAGAGTGAAAAATATTTGGAACTGAAGTTCTGCTGACATAAGGAAGATTAAAATGGGCTCTAGATGAAGGCTGGTACTAGACAGCATGTGAGCCTAGAAATTTGGGATGGAAATCCACAAGATGGTTTGGATTGAGTAGATGGTAATAAACTGAAATCTTGAGGTTCAGGTTGATTGGATATCCTAATAGGAATATAAGAAGTACAGTATTAGCTGATAATGTTAGGAAACTGACAGAGCTTGAAGGGAGAGGACAATGTGAATAGTTGAATAACAAAAGAAAGGTACAAAGATTGGCTGCAGAGAGCTACGTTGAAGCGTTCAGGTGTCAGATTATATATTTATATAACATCTAAAATTAAAACAGTTCTTAGGAATACCTAATGCTAAGCTGAGTTTTGAGCTTTTATAGAGAATACATGTATAGAATCTGCTATGTGGTTTTGCATGATAACATTATAAAAATACTTCACTAAGGCTAAATGATCAGTGAACAAAACTTTTAGGTAAATTAAACCTGAACTCATTTAATGTTCTTATACACAAGTGAAGGTTCTTTTTGCCACTGTCAGCTTCACCTGTGTACTTAATAGAAGTATGTCTTTCCTTCTTGAACCACATCTGTCTTGCTGATGCAATATCAAAATGCACAGTTATTTTTCGTTAGAGCATTATTAATGTAATAATTCAGACACAGCTCAAACTAGAGGAAACAACACAGCATTTTTCCTCTCTCTTTAGGAATCAAGGTTGCATTCTGTGAGAAGAAATTTTTCACATCTGTTGTCTCCTTGAGTCTGAAACCTTGGTATACAAGAAGTCCCCATTTTCATCCTAGAAAAGATTACTGACTGGAAGATAAAATTCTTACACCACCTTTACCTACAGACTCTGTAAAATGGATTTTTAGCCATCCCATTTGCTGGTGTTCCTATCACGTGGAGGAAGTGTCGTTCCTGACTTGTAACATTTGCCTGGATGTGCCTAAATGAAAATGCCGTTAGCTTTTGTAAAGAAAGAACATTTGGTTTTGCAGTTTGGACAGGGAAACACCCAAAACTGTGTTTTTATTCTATATAGCCTTTCTTAATAAAAATACTTTCACTGGACAAAATTGTAATTTCTAGTATACAGCCTACTATTTAGATATGGATTACTTACATAGATTTAATAAAATATGCCATTTTTCAAGGGAAAAGTTACTTTTCATTTCTGGACTATATAGATTTAAAAGATTTGTTAGTAAAGGTGGAAACGCCATCTTCCCCACGTACTAACAGCATTTACCTGCTAGGGATTAGAATGTGGTTATTTAAATCTGTATTGCAATAGTTTTTGTTTATTTTTGATTTTTTTTTTCAATTGGAATTCTCTGCTTTTGTAAGATACCTTCACTTGTTGTGTCGTTTTAGTGCTGGAGGGTAATAACTTGAAAGTTTGAACCACTAGTTTAATGATTGGTTATTTTCATAGGAGGGTGATGTTTTTCTGGTACACAGAAAGCAATATATTTGGGTTTCTGCTATGTTTTAATTTACAGAAGAAGACAAGAATCGACTTAATTCTCTGACAAGGCCATTTAGAAACTTCCCCTTACTGCCTTCAATTTTTCTGTTGTCTGAGCAAGGCTTTAGGAACTCGTTGGCAGTGCCATGAATGGAGATGGAACGCTCTGTATCCTCAGCTGCAGCAAGTGACTTATTCTCCTTGCTTCTGCCCTCACCCCCCTTGAATACCTTTTATATTTTGTAAAACTTGCTTTCTTCAAAGACACAGCCTCAGTGTACTTAATAGCAAAAAGAATCTATAATGACTTTATTGTCATGTATGTATAATATCCTGGAGCTTTCAATTTATCTTCTCTCTAGAAGTTTGCTTTTTGGTTGTTGGGGTGGTTTTTTGTTTATTTCTTTTGCTTTTGAAGCACTCAGGGATCCTACACAGTGGGCATTTCTGTCAGCCACTAAACTGTGTGTAATAGGTAAATACCTTAATGGTGATTCTGACAGCCAGTATAGCATCTCTTTGTGTTATACAGGAAAAAAGATGGAGTCAGATGCTGTTCCTACACTGGTTTGGAATTATATGAAAGGAGATGACACACACAGTCATTTTGTTTATTGTGTTGGTGGTATGTTTGCTGTAGGTGTTTTCCGTGTTTTGCTAGGTGGAAAGAAATCTAGGCAATATGATTTCAACTTTTTGTTCATTTGTTATTAAAGAAGTGTTACTGTAGAAACTGGGAGATTGTTGGGCCCAATAAGTATCAGATACTTGCAACTTGTTTGCATGATTTGAGGGGGAAAATAGTTGCTGTAGCTTGTCCTGTCTCTGAGCCGTCCAGCTGGCTTCTATTTGATGCAGATTTTAGAATTAGATTTTAGAATTCATCAGTACAAAAGTTACAGAAATATTGATGCATCCTAACAATAAGCCATTTCTGTGGAAGAATTTCTGTGTAGTTATGGTATTGTTGTAAATGCTGGAATGGCTCAGAAGGAGTCAAAGGAAAGTGCTGTGTTCTGTTGGAGCCTTATTTGCTCTGTCATGAAACAAGAGCTCATTTGACTCGAGGCTGAGAATATTTAGTCCTAAATCCTTATTTTTGACATTTGCAGTTTCAGTTTACAAATAGGATTTACCTGTTTCTGTAGTGGCTTAGAGATGGAAGAGGTCAAGTTCACAGCAGGTACTGTATTGGGGAAGTCTTCTAAACTGATTGCTTGAAAATGTACGACTCTAGTGCAGTCATTTGTCCATCTATCCGATGGAGTGGCATCTAATGCAAATTTTAAAATGTCATTTATTTCCATTTGTTGGGACAGATGGTAAATTATTGCTAAATGAGTTGATTTCCTGGCCTTTGTTTCAAAGAACATTTACTTCATTTTACCTTGCATGTGAACTTGATCATTTGGAAGCATGTTCAGCACTGGGTACAGAAGTATTCCTGGGTGTTCTTTTACAGTCTCTCTAACTTAGTCTGGAGATGTTGTTTGTGAAGGTTATGTCACCATTTTTTAACAGTGTTTAGATTTGACCTGAGACCTCTAGAGGGGAAAAAAAAATAAAAAATGAACCACTAATTTTTGGCTTTCCTCCAGGAATTACCAGTAACTGTTGAAATACTGAGGGCTTTCCAATGACATTGTAACTTCTCTTTCTTTAAAATGTCTGCCAACAATGATGGCATAATACCAGTTACTAGGAAGTGAACTTCTAAGCTGCCTGTAGTTGAATCCTTTCTTAGACACAGTGGAGGCACAGTAATCAGCTTTTGTAGTTTGTGCAGGAATACATTGGAGAGATGCACTAAGAATGAACTGTATAATTTTTTCTCACAAGTGCCTAAAATTGCATTATTTTGACATCACAGCTTTCAGCACTTTTTTTATTTCTTAAACTTTACACTGTTACTTTCCTACCTTTTAAAGTCATCACAATACGGTGATTCTTTACTGAAGTCATCCAGTTAAGTGTAGAAAAGTGGGTCTTGATTTGGGGTTTGGAGAACAGCAGTGCTTCCTTTGGGCTTCTGCAGTTTCCTGTCTGTAGCTGTAAGGCCTTACATATATTAAGAGGGATTGGAGCAGATGAGGACTGTGCTCCCTGGATGCGCACTAGCTAGCGGCCAAGTCTTTGTGCACTGCTTGTCACATATTAGCAAACAGAATTAACACCCTGATTCTCACTCGCTGAGAGTTTAGTGACCCTGCCAGTATTGTTTTCTGAGCTAGCTTTCACAGTATTTCTAGTGATTGTTGTTTGTTTAATGCTACATATCCATGGCAAACTGCTAGTTCTGACGTTGTGCTAAGTGACACTAACAACCCCTAGACGTACAGGAGAGCTACAGAAGTTATCACCTGTATTTTTATGTATTTGATCAGGGATTCACTTATGCATTAAGTAGAATTTTCTAGTTTTGGGTTCCTGCTGCTTCTGATCCTGTGTACTGGAAGTCTGTTCATCATCCCTGTAAGCTATTTAGTTTTTTGCTTACATATGTTTGATTATTTCTGTTCTGATATTCGTTCCTCAAAATAGTCAATGAGCAACTGCATTCCAGTAGTAACTGAACAAAACCTGACTGAACACATGGCTTTCTAAAAATGTTTTCCTGTTTTTAGCAGTTTTTAAATGTAAGTAGTTGTATGGTTGTGAAATAGTTGAAAGTTTTTGAGTGTAAATATAACAGTAAAATGGGTTTGTGGCTTTGTAATGTTGAACAGATACAGTAGTTTAAATGCACCTGGTATACAGTTTTCTTCACTTCTGTTTTCTTTTTAAAAGATGCACATTGTGTATCATTATATTAAAGATCAAAAATGTCAGTGTCTTGATACACTTGTACAATCCCATACAGCTTTAGTGTGGGAAGTCTGAGTGGAAATACAGAAAGCAGAACAGTAATATGTGGCTCTTATTTGAGCAATGTTTAATATTGCTCCTGAGATGTAGTGGGAAAGTGCACATCTTACCAGGCCACCTTGGACTTCTTGAGCCACAAATAATTAGAAAATACTGAAACGAATATTGTGGGCCTCACACGGTCATTTTATGTCTCTGTTCACCAATGGAGTTGTTGTCTACATAAGTGTGTACGTTTTAAAAATATATATTTAATTGTTTTTAAATCAGATAATTAAAAACACATTCTAAAATGTGTGGTTTCATATAATCACAGTTGTTACATTTGATACTGTATTGCAGGTACAGAAGATCTATTTAATGCAGCCTTGTTAAGTGAGATGTGCATAGATAAAAATGTGTAATACATGTGTAGGTCTTAGAGAATTGTTAGCAGCTTTACAGATCCAAAGCTCTTTCTGTGTGTGATATAGCAGTTAAAAATAGAATAAATAGTGGTTTTTAGCATTTCACAAAGTTCTGGTTTGGTAACTGGGAGTTTAATGTATATACATTGGTCCTTATCTACTGTATTAATTGTCATTTTTTGTTTATTGTAGCACAGATGAGTAATTTAAACAGTTATAGAAAAATGTTAAGAATGGAACTGATGAGCTGTTGTCATTAAACTGTGCTTCTGCAGTCATTAAAATAAACCATTGTTGTCATCTATCTGATTAAACTTTTTAGATTATGAAGGTAAATATTAATCCAGAAGAGCTGGCTGTTGTGCTCTGACAAGGCTGTAGTTCCTGTTTTATTTTCCAAATTATTCCTGCAAAGGAAGAAGAAAAGAGGTGCATTAAAAGGGGGGAGGAGGGTGGCCGAGAAAACTTCAAAAGGATTTCTTCACAAAATTTCTATGTAAGTTATAGACAAAAGACTATCAAATCATTTTGCAGAAAAAGATCTGCTAAGTGCCAGTGCTTTGTTTTAGTTACAATTCTTGAAGTTGGGAATGCAATTTTTTTTTTTAACTTTTTTTCCTTTGTTCTCTTGTCCTTCTGCCCATTCCCAAGCAAAACCTTTATTTTTTATCTGGAGTCATAAAACAAGGGAAGTAAGCCTGAAGAGAAATACACAGAGGAGCTGTGAAGTGCATTATGTTTTCATTTCTGTAAGTGTTCGGCTAACCTCAGGTGTTGAATGATTTAGTTCTAGTTTGCAGTCCATCCTCCTGAATCTTACTAGTATTTCTGTCATCTGCTAAGAGCTGCGTCGGAGATGGCTGCTGTGTCGCAGGTGATGATGCTAATATGCCTTAGTGTTGCTGTTAAATACAAAGATGTAGCTCGCCTTTGTAAGCTGCAGACACGGGGAATTATAGGTACAGCTGGTGCAAATGTTATTTTGCATCTTTACTTTGTCAAATTAGGAATTAACTTTCTTTCCTTGCTAGTTGTCCTAGTGAAATCTTAATAAATAGCAATGATTTATTCTGTAGGGAGTTGGTACAGTTTTAAGGTATTTTTATTTCTGAAGATTGCAACTCTAACCTCCAGAATGGAAGCGGATCTCCAAAGACTGCGCAGCTGAATTTACTCCAGGTAAGCTAACCAGCTCAAATGTTTGAGTGAATGATGTTCTCACAAGGTGCAGTTGGATGGTGATGGTTTTGTCCCAGTGGTGACCAGGCAGGCTAAAAAGTTTTCTCAGTGTCAGCCAGTTATAAATCATATGGTTGGGGAGGAATAATTTCCCGTGATTGGCAATACAACTAGCAAATTGTATAAGCCTTCTTATGAGTCCATCTTTGTAGCATTTTCCCATGTCATCAGAATGAAAGCAATTACAGGACCCTGAGAGCCTTCCACAGAAGCATAGTTACTTAGAATTAACGTGTCCATCATTTGCTTGTGCTGCCTGTCTTTTCCCTTTGAAAGGTCTAAAAATGATACTGAGGTTGGATAACTGAGTCTCGCACTCTTTTGTTGTGGGACTTGCTGCAAATCACTGTGATGAGGAATCTCTTCTAGTGCCACTTGCCAGAGATTTGACATTTTGATCACTGGAAATGGGCAGGTTTGTTGCAGTACCTTGTTGCAAAGTGAACATTTTCAACAGCGAAACAGTTCCAGAAGCACCTCTCATAGCCAGGAATTCAAAGGAAATTGTTTCTCTCCCATCAACATCATTTCGTTGGTTCAGTCTAAAACTCTTGATTCAAGTCTTCAATGACTTTATTGACTGACTTTCAATTTGGAAGCTTGTAACTTACTTGACTAAGCCAGTGTTACCCTAAAGTAAAGTGCGTCATTTTCATCCATCGCAGTGTTTCTGCATTGGTGTCCAGAGAGTTTGTCGATACTGTGAAAAACCCTGTTTTGGAGAGAGTTGGGATATAGTTTGAGCCTTGCTGCAAAGAGCTCAAATGACTGAGTGCTGGCCTCTTTAAATGCAAAGATAGCTTTAGTTAAAGTAAAATCCAGGTGTCGGCTGGTTTCTTGCTGCAGAAAGCTTTTCAGTTGTTGCTATTTTAGCTGTCACCGTGTCTTTGTACAGGAGGTTACAAGATCCTTGTGGAATTGGACAGCAGGATTCTCCAGGTTGAACAGACCCTTACATGTCTGTTTGGGAGAGCAACGGGTCATGGATTACCTTTTCTGGGGGGAAAAGGAAAATCTGTTTGGAAGCGATCCCTGTGTAAACAGTCATGCAGGAAGCTGAAGAGCTCCATTGCTTAGTTGGTATGTTTTTCTAGGTTTTAATCAGAAGAAAGGGCAAGGATCTCTTCTTGGTTTTGGCACCTGGGGATTTGCGTTAAAGGCTGTAAGATTGAACTGGTGATACTGCATAGATTCCACGCTCAGTGACTTAAGTTATTCCAGAATAAGTACATTTGGAGTACAGCATAGATTTCAGAGCCAGTGTAGTTTGCCCCCTTATTACTCCTGGTAAGCTACTTTAAATAATAATGTTAATAATAAAGTTACATCATTTGTTTTACGTTAGAGCAGGGAGAAAACAAAAAATGGTTTGTCTAAATCACAGTGGTTGTAGAAAAGTTGAGCCGTTTTGATGAGATCGCTTTTCTTCAGGGAGAATTATTTAAAAGCTTTTAAAATTGAAATTAACGTTTCCTTTAATCCAAAATGGCATTGTGAATCTCTGGCTTGGACTGAGTTATTCTACATGTAGTCCAAAAATAAATAATGAAAATTCTTTTCCTGCCCATCCCTGCAGTACCAGAGCCCTGAAATATCACTCACCATTCCTTTTGTCTCCGTATGTTATTGTGGTCTGCATCAGGTGTAATACGACCACAAGTGATTGCAGTAGTTAATGTAAGAATAATGAGGGCTTATCTTAGGTGTTGGTTGGTATTTTTTTCCCTCTTTTTTTTCTTATTTTGTTTATTTTTTAATTAAATGTATTCTGAGCCCTTGGAATTGTACTAAATTTTCAGCACTTGTCGGAAAAAGATGCTTAGGGAGCAGTGCTGAGTGCATGCAGTTATTCAGCCGAGGTCAGCCTGACAGAGAAGAGGACTTCAGTTGTTCAATACTCATGAAAAGTGGGGCAGGAGGTCTTGTAATTATGTTCATATTAGCTTGAAAAGGTCCCTCTGACCTGAAGTGAAAGCCAGAGTTTTCAGTGTTTCTCAAATCCAGTTATGTAAGTTGGTCTTAGGGATGTATATGCTTTATCATAATCATATTTTCATGATTTTCTTGATATGAGGCTTCTTTACAACATTTTTACGTTATTACCTTATGTTTGTGTTTTTCTCCCTCTGGGAGAAAGTTTCTGTGAAAAGGAAATAGGAACCAAACTTGGAAATCTAAAATAAAGACTAAACTGCTTTTCATTTACTTTTCTGCCCTTTGAGATGCCAGAAGCAATTTCCTCTTGAAGCTGACTTCCTTTCTGGAAATGATTTTCGTCTCCAACCATGTTGAGGCTCTTTTTCTCATTCTTTCATTCTGACTAACTTGCTTTTTTTCCTCTGACTTGCTACTGCATTTGGGTACTCCTTCTGGAGGTAAGTAATTACACACGTACAAGTTTCTCTAACTTTCTTTTTCAGTTCTTTACTTCCCACCCCCCCACACCCGCCGCCCCTCCTTCTTACTCGGTCGGTCTAGAAGGACAAACAAAGCACTATTGGTGTCCTCTGCGAGAGAGCACTGATAGGGGGCTGGCTGTAAATTGACGTGGCATGGAAAATCTCTGCTAGCTTGTAGCAGCTCTAACGTTGCTGCAGAAATCAAGCCTACTCGAACTAAGTTTATGGCTTGAAATCATGATGGATTTGCTGTTCATATATAAAAAATGAATGGGAAGTACCTCCACTTTTTGTTTCGGGAGACAGACTTTTTCTGTATTTGGATTTACAGCTCATAGAAAACAAAATCAAAGGGAATCTCTTGGTTACTGTTTTTTGGTGGGTTTTTTTGTTTTGTTTTGTTTTTAGTGAGAGCAGCAGATCTCGTTGCTCCCCCCCTCCTTCTCCTGAGATTTAATCACTTGCAGATCTTACCATGGGGTGCGGACTGAGAAAGCTGGAAGACCCAGATGATAGCAGCCCTGGAAAAATTTTTTCTACATTGAAGCGACCACAAGTTGAAACAAAGACTGATTCTGCTTATGAATATGTGTTGCTGGATTTTACTTTAGAAGGTAATTCTTACATTACGGCTTTGCTATTCTGAGAAAGTAGGAAATAGAATTTAACTTTGTTCTGTTGTGTCTGAGTTGTAGTAAATCTGTTATTTTAATCAAAGCCAGCCAAAATGTAAGACTTTTATTTTGAAACGCAAATCGTGACGAAGGTTTCACTTAGATAAAATTACAGTGGAAACTACCAAAGTATTTTTAACAACCAAACTGTCTGAGTTACACAACTGTCCTTGTTGGGAAGCTGGCTGAAAACTGCTAGAGATTTTCCTAGTTTCCTGTGAGTCAGCCACTGCCATCCTTACTCACTTTGAGTAACGGTTGTCTGAATTTAGTGCAACTGTTCAGAAAATATGCAGTGCCTCAGTAAGGAGAGCAGGATGCCTTAACTGAGGAAACATTGTCTTAAAATGCATTCAAATTTGGAAAACAGGCTGTCATTGTCTTTGTTACTTTGTGCAAGAGAAAGTCTATTCCTTAGTTTATACAGGGAATACTTTCCTCTGAGGTACATCCCAGGCTTTTGGTAGGTCTTCTAAGAGTATTATAGTTTTGCTTGGGCTTTTTTCTGCAAGTGCTTCATTTCTAGTTGCTGAATAGGCTTTTGAAATTGTGACCAAAATGAAACAAAATTTGTATGCATAGCTGGAGGCAGACGGTGCTCTGTGGGATACTTCCTTCCCGAGGGTGTCCTGTCTCTAACAGAGCAACTCCCTGTTTCCAGAAAGTTGAAAACATAAACAAGCCCAGATGGCTGCCCTCTCAGAGCAGGCAGCTCAGTTTTGCAGCCACTTTTTTGTTAACTTGCATTTTATACCCATCCAATCTACTGGAAATTCTTAATATTAAGTAATTATAGTGAATGTTCTAGATAGAGGGATTTGATAAAGGGAGGAAGAGTAAGCACATGCCTTGTTACATGTTCGGGAACTTTTTCACAAACAAAGCTTAATCTCTGCTTACTTTTCTTCCCAAATTAAAGGATTGTAGCAATGTTTTTATTAAAATTTATCAATGTGTTCCCTGAAAAACTACAAGAACTACCTGAAGCAATGTTCTACTAAGTTGTAGTACTTGCCTGTATTTATTGCTCTGTTTATTTACTCATAGACAGATGAGGTTCTCATTGGTTTATTCTTTTGGGATAAACAAAGCTTTGGGTAGATAGGTAGTACTAGGTAACTTGCTGGAAATGAAGATGGACTTGAATGCATACATGAATTGCCTACTGACCTACTGATAACAGGAAGGACAATAGAGTTCAGGTTTTTTATGCTTACATGCATTTAATATTTTTTCAGTAGTTTGTGTCCTGAATAGCTTAGCTGTG